CGGCAGCCCCAGAGTCGACCTCCGAAGCACCAAGCACACCACCCCCAGAGGCAGCACCAACACCAGCTCCAGACCCAGGCTCTCCAGAAACCGAAGGAACACCCTCACCCCCAGACGCAGCACCCCCAGACTCCGCACCAGCACCCCCAGACTCCGCACGACCAGTACCAGCCCCCGGAAGACAAGAGTCCTCTGCAACCCGCGGCTCAGCTCCAACTCCAGCACCCCCAGAACCAGAGACCTGTACAGGGACAGTCGCAGGACCAACCTCCCGAGAGGGAGCACCTGCAGGAGGCGGCGAGGAAGACTGTGGGGAGGGAGGCTGTACAGGGGGGGCTACCGAAGGGGGAGGGCTAGCCTGAGACACACCAGACGGGGCTGGACCAGGGGGGGGAGGCTGTACCGGGGGAGCAGGCGGGGGAGCGGCTGTCAGGAAGAGGGGGGGAGGAGGAACCGGGAGACCTCGACTGGGGTACCTGACGTAGTAGGGGGTGGACTCCTCGAAACGGACGTCACGGGAGTCAAAGAACCGGTGAGAGGGAGGGTGGTAAAAGGTGAAGTCAGAGGAGTCCTCAGGGAAACCAAGGAAGACACAAGAAACGGCGCGAGGCGAGAGCTTGTCCGCGGAGGTGTCGCGGACAAGAGCCAAGCACCCCCAGACACGAAACCTCGACGCGACACCAGGGGACCCTGTCCAAAGACTGGTCGGTGAAGCCTCCGGCCGAGAGACGCGTGGCCAGAGGTTCAGCTGGTGCGCGGCGTACCTGACTGCGTATGGCCACAGGAAATGGGGGGCACGGGCGTGAGTCAAGGAGGTGCGGGCAATCTCCATGACCAGGCCTATGCGACGCTCAGCAACCCCATTCTGCTGTGGGGACTCCGGAAGCGTCCAGGACTGACGAATGCCCTGTTCGCGACAGAATCCAGCGAGAATGCCGGAGCGAAACTCGCCCCCGCGGTCGGAGTGGAGACAGCTGACACGACGACCACGAGTGTCCTGGGTGGTAAGCAACCACCTGATCAGCGTAGAAGTCACCTCAGACTTCCTCGCCAGGGGGAACACTGTGGTGTAGCGGGAGTAGTCGTCAACGACCACCAAAAAGAAACGCTCACGCTCAGGGCCAGGGCGAGGAGAGGGGCCCCAGACGTCCAAGTGCAGTGTCTCAAAAGGCTCGGTGGCCGGACGAAGGGAGGAGGAGTGAGGGGTGGCACGCAGCCTACCCTCGACGCAAGGACCGCACGGTGGTGCAAGGGACGGCGGCAGCGACGGCAAGACACGCGGGAGACCTAAGACCAGACGCTGACTAGACATAGCACGCAGACGTGGAAGAGAAGGGTGTCCCAGCCGGTGGTGCCACAGAACGGTGGGGTGGGCAAGCGACCGACAGGAGCAAGACGCAGCGACTGGACTGGACGCGACAACCTGAGAGGACGGAACCACCTGGTGAGACGCAGGGAGGAGACTAGGGGGAGGGACAGGAACTGGGAGGAGGGGCTGCTGTGACGGCGGCCGCTGTGGCTGCGGCTGCTGCTGCTGCCGCTGCTGCTGCTGCGGCTGCTGCTGCTGCTGCTGCTGCTGCGGCTGCTGCTGCTGCTGCAGTCGCTGCTGAGCGCGCGGGCCAGTGTGAAGAGTGTAGAGACCGGAGCCCGGCTCAGCAGCAAAAGTGGCGAGGGGCTGGTAAGAGTCCCCGTCAACACACACCGCAGTCTCTCCAGAAGGCTCAAACCACACACCCACGTGCTGACTCACAAGGGGTCGCACGCCCACCAAGTTCCGGGAGAACGAGGGGACGTGAAACCCAGTGAGAGACCCAGAAGGAGCAGCCGGACACGGCAAGGTGGTAGTGTGACGCGCGGTGACTGGTCCCGAAGTGGGATCAGCCAGCGCCACAGAAACAGGCGCAGGAAGAGGCGTAAGTGTCGTGCTGTCACGAAAGAAGCAGTGAGAGGCTCCAGAGTCCAGCGTGAACGACAGCGAACCGTCCTCTGAGGTAGCCGCTGGACTAGAGTCTACACAAGAACCTACACTAGCAACAGGCAACTGAGCAAGGCTAGCACCTAAGCTAACAACACCAGAGTAAGCAGAGTCAGAAACACTAGAGTCAACAACAGCATACATAGCATGAGGAGCACCAATCAGATCAACTAACTGCTCAGCAGACATGCCCCACAGAGCGGAGCCGTAGCGCTGAACCAGAGGAAGCCAGTCAAGGGCAGGACCGCCAACCCCGTAGGCCAACCGGACCGTGTCAGTGAGCTGAGCAAAGCACTGACCAGGGGGGTGAAAGCGGCCACAAGGGTGGCCCCGACGAGGACCTGTCAGAACCTGATAGGTGCAGGGAGGGTAAGCAGCACCACGCTGGGGCTGACGCAGCCCCGACCCCGGAGCCAGCTGCTGACGCTGCTGCTGCTGAGGCTGCTGGGAGGAGAGGGGCTGCTGGTGCTGCTGAAGCCGCTGCTGACGCTGAGCCTGGTACCACGCCGCTGCTCCACCTAGCGGGGCCGGCAGTACAGGAGACGACTGACGAGCTCGGGCGTCGCCACCACCAGCAGGCGCAGTGGAGTCACCAGCCGCTGCACGAGAGGTCTCTCCAGACGCTGCACTCCCACCACCGCCAGTCGCAACAGCACCCCCACTACCTCCGCTACCTCCGCCTCCACCTCCACCAGAACCACCTTTCTTGCCCCCCTTGCCGCGGGACCGCGACGCAGTCGTAGCAGCAGCTGCAGTCGCGTCAGTAGCGGCAGTGGCAAGAGAGGCAGTGAAGGTGGGTAACTGCGGGACTGTGCACCCGTGGAAGAGTGGGGGGGGCACAGCACCAGAGGCGGCAGCTACCGAGCGAAGGTTGCTCTCGACGTCCTTGAGCGCAGACTCAAGGACCTCAACTGTCAGCTCACTAGGGTGCTTCAGCAGGAGCGCGTCACGTACGGAGGCAAGGCAGTCAGGGAGGCTAGTGGCGATGAAATAGATAGTAATCGCCATGGGGGGAGGAAGCAGTGCAAGCTGTGCCTCAGTGCAAGCAGCGCGGTAACTAGCGTCGAGCGAGCGGAGGTGAGCGATCAAGTCAGCAGAGCGCTCAAACGAGGCGAGATCAGGAAACAGGAACGGGAGGAAAAGACGGCCAAGAGAGACAGTAGCGGGAGTAGAGTAGCGGGCCTTAATCGCAGTGAGGTACGCAGCAGCGGTGCGAACCTGAGTGAAGTGGACCTCCTCTGACTCAGGGAGGAGGCTGCTGAGTGCGATGCAGGCCGCAGCGTCACGTGACGTCCAAGCCGTCCTGTCAGCGCGCTGACGGGCAAAGCGAGCCGTAGCAGCATCGTCAGGGGCAGGACCTAAAGCGGCAGGCTCGGGGGGCTCGGGGAGGTCACCAGTAGCGTGCGACCAGAGGGTCTCGCCCCCCTGGACTTGACTCTCTAACAGACGGCGAGCACGAAGAAGCCAGACGGAAAAGTCAAGAGGTCTACCGTCAGCGTCGAAACGAAGAACTCGCGGAGTCGCCATAGCGAAAACTAACGCGAACGAGCAGGCGAGTAACAGCAGGAGGTAAGAGGCAAATTAGGGTGCAGGTGGGACTTAGTCGCAGCGGAAGAGCGGGCTAGAGCGACGGGCCAGGGCGTAGGGTCGACGGGACGGGGGAAAGGGCGGGCACGATGCGACGGGGCAGGGCGACGCGACGGGGGAGGGCGACGCGACGGGGGAGGGCGACGGGACGGGGAAGGGCGACGCGACGGGGCAGGGCGACGGGACGGGGAAGGGCGACGCGACGGGGCAGGGCGACGGGACGGGGCGACGGGACGGGGCAGGGGCAGGGCGACGGGACGGGACGGGGACGGGACGGGGCAGGGGCGACGGGACGGGACGGGGACGGGACGGGGCAGGGGCGACGGGACGGGACGGGGCGACGGGACGGGACGGGGCAGGGCGACGGGACGGGACGGGGACGGGACGGGGCAGGGGTGACGGGACGGGACGGGGACGGGACGGGGCAGGGGCAACGGGACGGGACGGGGCGACGGGACGGGACGGGGCAGGGCGACGGGACGGGGCAGGGCGACGGGACGGGGCAGGGCGACGTGACGGGGGGAAAGGGCGCGACGCGACGGTGGGAAAGGGCGCGACGCGACGGGGGGAAAGAGCGCGACGCGACGGGGGGAAAGGGCGCGACTCGACGGGGGGGAACGGGCGCGACGCAACGGGGGGAAAGGGCGCGACGTGACGGGGGGGGAAAGGGCGCTAGGCGACGGGGGGAAGGGCGCTAGGCTCGGCACTAGGCGCGGTAACAACGGAACCGGTACGAACGAGAGGTAGGATCAGGCTCGGGAGATACGAACGGAGAACGGAGGAACGGGATCCCACAGGATCCTAACCTAACTGATACCATGTCAGAATGAGGAATGGATGATGCATTGATGTTGGTTGGGGTACATATAGCTAACCCTAAGTTTTGTACCCCCTAAGACAAACCTCACTATAGGCTACAACATTTGACAAGGGGGCCGCGGGCGGCTCCCCAGAGCGTTGCGACGAGACAGAGGGGGGCAGCGCGCGGTTCCGCGAGGCGACGCGACGAGCGACGGGGGGGGGGGTGGGGGCTCCGACGGGGAAAAAACCGCCGCGCGCCTCGGGGCGCACGGCGGGAAGAAAAATCCGTCGCGCGCCACGGGGCGCGCGACACAGAGTAGCAGCAAAGTTAACGGGTGGGACCACCCACAGGATCGACCCAGGAGGGTCGACCTGCTCTGATAGCATGTCGGAAGTCTAGGCAGAAAGAAGAAACAGGCAAGAAAGGGTTATCACTAACAAACATAGGGATACATATAGCAAACCCTAGAAGGGCTGTACTCGCTATAGAGTACCCCACTGCAGACTAGACAAACATCACATTCTGACAACGGTATCTTACAGTATTAACTACTGTCTTGTACAAATGAACTTCCGGTACCACAGGAATAAATAGCCAGTGCAATCCACACACATGCTTAGCCGCTCATCTCACCACTCACTCATCAGCAACCTTAGCCTTCTTGCTCTTTTTCTTCTTGCGCTTCTTGCCCTTCTTGCTGTTCTTCTTGCCCGAAGCCTTCTTCTTCTTGGCCTTCACCCTCCCTTCCTCCGCTGCATCACCTGCCTCCACCGCCTCACTCTTGCCCGCCTTGCCGGCACTAACAATCGCACCATCACCATCACCCTCATCGCCACTCCTCCCTTGCTCCGTCACCACACCGGCGTCTGTCTCCGCACCTACAGCTTCCACATCGCCACCGCCATGCACTGCACTGCTCTCACTGCCACTCCCCTCCTCCGCCTCCTTCGCCTGCCCTCCCCTCTCAGCAGCAGATTCAGTATCGCTCTCCTCCTCAGCCTCCTTACCACCCCCCACGCCTTTGCCTTGCCCTCCACCAGCTCCGCCCGCCTCAACCTCATTTGCAGCGGCGTGCCCCTCCGCATGCCCCTCATCACTGTCCATGTCCTTATCACCCATTCCCAAGCCCTTCTCACTGTCCCCATCGCCTGTGCTCCCCATGCCTCCCGTGCCCTCCTCCTCACCATCAGCCAGACTCCCACGCTTACCACCATCCCCGCTGCTTTCGCTCTCGCCCTCACTACTCTCTGCCACACTGCTCGAGCCGCTGTCTTCACCGGCCTCTCTCGAGCCCTTGTCGCGTTCCCCGTCATTCCCATCCGCCATCACCTCACCCCTTCCACCACCGCCGTCACCATCGCCACCACCAGCATCGCTGGGCTCTGAAGTCACCTTGGTGCTGCCACCCGCACTTGACTCTACTTCTCCCCCAGACGAGTCCCCGCTCTCTTTCCCACGTACCTCGCGGGCCCCACCACCTTCCCCGCCATCGTCGTCCGTCCCTTCCCCCCCCCCCTCACGCCCGCCTCCCCCAGCTGAGCCATCGCGGCCACCCTGCCCGCTCCCGCCCCCCTCGTCCCCCTCTGCATCGCTCTCCGTCGCCCCGCCACCTCCGCCACCATCCACCCCACCGTCGCTCACGCGTAACTCTCTCGTCCCCTCACCATCGCCGCTTGTGACATCCCCCCCGCTCCCCCCTCCGCCGCCCGCGACCTCAAGCGCGGGGTGCTGCTGCTGCTGCTCGGCGCGCTGCTGCTGCTGTTGCTCCTGGCGCTCCTGGCGCTGCAGGCGGTAGAGGAACAGCAGCGACACCACGAACGCCACCGCCAGCGAGTTCACCAGATACCGCGGCGTGTCGCCGCCCGCCCGCGCGCCGCTGCCGCGGAGCGAGCCCCGCCGCAGCCTCATGACGGCCCGTCGCGCGCGGAATGAATCAAATGACGAGAGGCGCAGCAGTGAAACCGGCGACGCGCGACATGCTCTGCCGGTAGCGCAGTCGAGAACGAAGGCTGGCAGTAGTGCGGCTCCTGGGAAGGGCGCGAGGTGGGGAGAGGGTGGAGGAGGGCACGTGGGAACCGGCGGCGGCAAGGGCAGCGGCGCAGTGCGCGGGATGGAAGGCGACGCGGATGGAAGGCGACGAGGTCCGAGGTCGACTGACGGCCTCCGGGATGGCGTTAGTTGAAAAGGGAACAATGGGATCTCGTAGACAATGTGCGACGACGAGGGATCTCGTGAACAATGTGTGACGAAGAGCGACAAAGGAAAATCAATTTCCTTCACTGAAACTAGGCGACTAATATTTTAGTATCCTTACGGCCCCAACCAGCCTACCCGTTCAGCCGCGAACCTAAGGAGTAACGAGGGCGGAGAGGCGACCAGATGGGCCCGAGAGTGATCGACGGAGCGACAACCCTAGCTTTTGTACACATTTGAAAGTGGGAGGTCAGTTTTGAGATTTGAAATGTTGGTAACTCTATAACAGCTAGTTTCACTCTCTTCACAAGGGAGGTGTTATGAGTTGTACTATCAGTGTGCGCGGAAGAATACTATGAAGAGAACGTGATTACAGCATGACGAAACAATGAAGTAAGCGAGCAAATATAGGGCGGAAACTAGCTAGGCGAGAACCTCGTGACGTGCGAGGGTTGGATGTGTCGCGATTGGTGCGGGGCGACTCGGAATTGGTTCGGTGCGAAAGTAAAGGCCAAACCCAAACTGACGCGAATAGTTCGGGCTGTCCTCGCTAGGAGCAGCCTCTACAGTAATAAATTGCATATTCATTACAGGAGGGATTCCCCAACATCCCACACTCCTTGGTGATTCAAAACTTCTAGAACAACAAAAGTATACGAAATCTTCTCTCTCAGATCTACGCCACTACACTAGTAAACCGTAGCTAAGCACATAACGACTCAAAAGCCAGTGCAAATCACACCCGTTTCCAACACAAACTTAGACGCACGGGGCAGTTTAGTGTAATTACAAGTCCGAACCAGCGTCAGTTCCGCCCTCTCACACTACGACCCCGCCGGACCCCTTCTCACAGCCTCGCCTCGACGTCCGTCGCGTCGCCTCACCACACTGCCTCATCAAGCCACCGTGAACGCGGACGACGCGTCTCAAACTTCCGAACACGCACGATCACAGTCGCCGCCCAATTGTTGATCCTCGCTAACGCGTTTCCGCACTAGCCGCGGCAGCCGCACTTGGGGTCACGAACGACTGCACAAACGACTGCTTCCTACCCCTTTCCGCGTCCTCGTTTCCCCTTCTCGTCTCCCCGTTTCCCCTTCCCGCTCCCCATTACCCATTCCCGCCTCCCCAATTCCCGTTCAAGCCTCCTCGTTTCCCCTTCCCGCCTCCGCGTTTCCCCTTCCCGCTCCCCGTTTCCCCTTCCCACCTCCCCTCCCCTCCCCCTCCCCTCTCTGCATTACCCTTCCCCTCCCTGCATTACCCTTCCCCTCCCTGCATTGCCCTTCATCGGATATTTGAGTTGCGAGGTTGGCTTGTTAGAATCCTAGGCTTGAATGAATGAACTAAGGGAGGAAATAAGATGCAAAGGTGAAACCCTAAGGGGGTTGTACCCCTTAGTGACTACCCCATTCTAGCCTACAAAACCTAAACATCATATATAGTTCAACACATCTCCATAGGCAAAGTGGGGGGAGAACAAGTGGTCTAAAAAACCAGTCAAGAAAAAATTAAACAAGCTCAGGGTGGATCACAATGTCACCACACACTCTGAGCACAAGCAAAGAAGGCCACATGGCCAGTTCACATGCACAGTTATATAAAAGAGAGCAAACAGTACAGTGATCACTACCTAGCAAGAGTAAGCATGCAGGTATATATATGAGGATCGTAGTACAAGCAAGGTCAAGCAGTAAGCAAGTGTGAGAACGTAGGCACGAGACCTAGAGCAGTGCAGTGACGCTGATGATCACTAGGCGGAAGTGCCTTGGTGAATATATCAGCTGTGTTGGCCCGCGTGTCCACGTAAGCAAGACGAAGCTGGCCGCGCTGCTGTAGCTCTCGAGCAAGAAAGTAACGCAGAGCGATATGCTTTGTCCTGTGCTCCAGTCTGTGCTCCTGACACAAGGCAAGGGCTGCCTTGTTGTCGCCGTACAGAACTGGAGGAGAACGAGGCCGCTCTCTCAAGTCAGTCAGCAAGTAAGTGAGCCAGCGTAACTCCTGTGCAGCCATGGTTGTGGCGTAGATCTCAGCCTTACAACTGGAGCTGAGAACAGAAGAAGAGCGGGTAGACCGCCAAGAGACAGAACCAGAACCAAGGCTGAAGGTGTAACCCTGCGACGACCGCTGCGTAGCCAGGTCGTCAACCCAAAAGACGTCTGAGTGTCCAGTGAGGACAACATCGCCCCGTCCTCCCAGCACCAGCCCCATGCCTGATGTACTGCACAAGTAGCGCAGCACCCTCTTAGCAGCCTCCCAGTGCTCTCGCCAGTGTCTTCCACGTGCAACGTAACGAGCCAGGATGCTAAGAGGGTACGCAAGGTCAGGTCGTGTGCAAGTCATCAGGTACATGAGGCAGCCCACGAGCTCTGGATACGGGCCACTCGGCTCTACGGACTCGTCCGAAGGTGGAGCTGAGAGCGAGTGACCGGTAGACAGAGGAGTGGACTGTGGTGAGGAGAACTGGAAGCCGAAGCGCTGAAGGACCTGCTGCACCATGCGTGACTGAGTCAGGGTGATGGTGCGGCGTGCTCTGTCACGGGTGATCTGCAAGCCAAGGTAGCTGCGCAGCTCACCCAGGTCTGTGCACGTGTGTCTCTTCTGTAGCTCCGACTTCACAAGAGCGAGTGCCTCAGTGTCAGCAGTGGCAAAGACCAGGTCGTCAACGTACACGAGGATGTAGAACGGCGGCAGCGACGTGTCGGTGCGGAGGAACAGCGACGGGTCTGCAGTCGAAGGAGCAAACCCAAGAGCCGCAAGTGTCGTCCTCAGTGTGTCGTGCCACTCACGAGGTGCCTGGCGGAGACCGTAGACTGGGCGCCGGAGGCTCCACTGGGTACCAGGAGGGAACAAACCAGTAAAGCCTGGAGGGTGGCGCAGCCAGATCTCGTCGTGCAGGCTGCCTTGCAAGAACGCTGTGCTGAAGTCAAGAGAGTGAAGCTCGTAGTCATGCTGAGCGGCAACGTGCAGTAGCACCCGAAGAGTGGTCATCTTCGGGGTAGGGGAGAAGGTCTGGAAGAAGTCAACTCCCTATCGCTGACTGAAGCCTCGTGCAACATAACGAGCCTTGAAGACAGGCGGAGAACCCGGCGGCCGCTTCACCCTGAAAATCCACATGCCATCGACTCTATTCGCCACAGGAGGGGGATCCTCGTTGACGTAGGTGCCTGTGGACTTCCAGGATGCCATCTCTGCGTCCATGGCTGTCTGCCACTGAGAGGAGTAGGGACCTGAGATCGCCTATGTGTAAGAGCGCGGGGTCGGGATGTCCAGTGCATCCGGGTCTCCCTCAGGGGCAAGCAGCCAGGCCACGAGATGAGGTACAGCAGCCGCAAGACAGTCAAACTCAGACTCAGCAACAAGACTGGCAGCGTAGTCTAGACGACACACAGCAGCAAAGTCAACGAGCTCAGCAACTAAGGCAGACGCAGACTCAAACGACGGGTCAGTGACAACAGTAGCCAGAAGACGCGTGACGGTGGGGCTAGCAGCACGAACAGCGTCAGACTCAGGGTCAGGAAGCTCAGGAAGAGAGGACGCAGGAGGAGACGGCAGAGGGACACGCTGTGGAGCAGAGGAGGGACGAAGTGCCATAGTGTGAGTGCCTGGCACAGGTATGGCGGGGCCGCGGACGCGAGACATGGCGAGCAGTGCGAGCGGCGCGAACAGGCGAGGCAGGACGAGATGCAGGCTCACAACGCTCCGTAAGCAAGTCTGTCTGCTCAGTGTAAGGAGAAGGAGCAGGCAGCGGAGAGCCAGGCTGTAACAAAAAACCAGTAGAAGATGGGAGGGTAAGAACCTAACGAAGAACGGAGTCAGGCGGTGGGAGAGACGACGACGACGGCGGAGTGAAGAACAGACGCCGCTGCACAGTACCACCAGCCGCAGCACCTCCAGTGCTAGCGTCACCAGCTCCTACTCCTCCAGCCTCAGAGTCTTCAGCACCAGGACCCCCAGCGTCAGCGTCCCCAGCACCAGGACCTCTAGCCCCAGTGTCTCCAGCTCCAGTGTCTCCAGTGGCAGCACCGACGGCTCGAGTAGCCCCAGGACGAGCACCACCAGCCCTGGCAGCTCCAGTACCTCTAGTATGAGCACCTCCGGGACCAACAGCACCAGGGGCTCCTCCAGCACCAGCAGCGTCAGTAGGTCCAGCAGTCCCAGCACCTCCAGCCCCAGCAGCGCAACCACCAGCAGCGCCTGTAGCTCCAGCAGCCCCAGAGGCCGGTCCCCCAGCACCAGCAGCGCCAGGCGAACGGCAGTAGCGTCGAGTGTACCACTCACGCAGCTGCTGCGGGGAGAGAGGCTCCTGCCGGCTAGACCCAGGCTCAGCACCCCCAGGCTCAGCACCCCCAGGCTCAACACCCCCATGCTCCACGTGCTCAGGCACAGCACCCCCAGGCTCAGCAACCCCAGGCTCCTCACGCTCAGGCTCAGCACCCCTAGGCTCCACGCGCTCAGGCACAGCACCCCCAGGCTCAGCAACCCCAGGCTCCTCACGCTCAGGCTCAGTACCCCCAAGCTCCACACGCTCAGGCTCAGCACCCCCAGGCTCCGCACCTCCAGGCTCAGCACCCTCAGGCCCCGCACCCGCAGGCCCAGCACCCCCAGACACAGGACCCCTAGCAGCACCTCCTCCAGCAGCACCTCAACAGGCTCAACCAGGGGAGGGGGGTCTACCTGAGAGACACTTGAAGGAGCAGGACCCTGAGGGGGGAGGGGGTCTACCGGGGGGGGACCTGGAGTGAGGAAGAGCGGCGGAGGGGGGAGAGGGGCAGTGCGGTAGGGGAAGAGACGGTAAAAGGGAACCGACTCGTCAAACGTGACGTCCTGAGAGGACAGAACACGGCGCGAGGTGGGGTGGTAAAACTGCTAGCCAGGCGCGTCAGGGGGAAAGCCAAGGAAGACGTAGGGAATGGCACGAGCGGAGAGGTTGTCCGCGGTGGTATCGCGGACAAAGGCACGAGAGCCCCAGACCCGGAAGCGCGACGCATCGCCAACCTCTCCCGTCCACCGCAGTGTGGGCGAGGTCTCCGGCAAGGAGACACGGGGCCAGAGGTTGAGTTGATGCGCAGCGTACCGGACCGCAAACGGCCACAGAAAATGGGGAGCAGCCGCATGGATCATGGACCTCCATGACGAGGCCAATGCGGCGCTCAGCAACCCCATTCTGCTGCGGAGAGGCCGGAAGCGTGAACGACTGGAGGATGCCCTCCTCCTGACAAAAGTCCCGCAAGAGGTC